TGATTGTTGTTATTATACTATTTTGGTGTGTATAATTTCTTTTCCATTTATTCACATATTGGTATATTGGTATATAACGAAAAATTGACATCTTTTTTTTCTGAATTGTTTGAATCTATCGAATTCTGATTAATCATCATTTCCATAATATCGGATAATATTTACATAATAATGATGAATTTTTTCAAGTCCTTGGCATTTATTCTAGAGCCTTTTTTTCATTAATGATGAGATTTTCCCTCTGAGAGATGTGTTTTTTTCATTTGCTCATTGATTTTATCTTTTGTTCTTAGATTATTTGATTTGATGATTAGATTTATTTGTTTTTTTATTACATAGTGGTTTGATGATTTGCCGCCGGTCTTATAACACCGCTCGATATTTATTCGGTTAGAATCGGGAAATTGAAATGGAATTTCCTCTTGCTTTCTATTACTTTTTTCTCAGTTTGACAATATAACAGTCCTGAAATATCCAATATCAAAAAAAAAACATGACAAATAATCCAATTAAACAATCAATTTAATTAGCATAATTAGCCGTGTGTGCATGAAAAATTCCAACTAAAAAATGAAATGGAACAAAAATTTCATTGTTCTCTTACAGTATAGAAATGAAATTGTTGTTGCTGTTGATGATGATGATAACGAGAGTAATGAATAGACGAAAAAATGCTATATCATTGCAATGGAATTTGATATTTTAATCATTGATGATGATGATTATTTGATTTATTTTTAATCAATGATCATGATCAATCATGAAAATAGAGATCTTTTTTAAAGATTTCTTGGTATTTTTTTCCCATCAATTAGTGTAAAAATGAAATGAAAATATTCTGTATCGATATTTTCAATATGTAATTGATTTGTACTTGTACTTGCTTTATTGAAAACAAAACAAAACAAGTCAAAACATTGTTCAAAACAATTCAATTTTTCAATGCACGCAATGTTTCAAATATCAAGACTTTTTTGTTTTGTTTTAAAATTTATTATGATTGTTGAATAATATGATAAGAATTAATCTAAATGATTGAAGAAAAAAAATTCTTCTATGTAATCATTCGTGCATATGAATAATAGGTAATCTTATTGAATTCTATGAAGATTCTGTGCTCTTGATGTTTTTGGTTTCGAAAACTTACTTTCAACATTACATCATTCTTTCGATTTGCTTCCAAATTTCTATAGTTTTCTCCATGAAAACAAAAAACAAATTTCTTCTCGTTACTCGTTATTGACTTTTTTTTATTGAATCTTTTTTTTTCTGCTGTCTCTCTATATACAAAAATATGATGATAACTTATTTATATATAATTCATAAAGTTTAATGTCATCTATTCTAGTGTATATGATTTATTATCACATTAAATAAGATATATTTATGTGACAAATTTTGTTTTTTGTTCGTTTGTTTTCAACACTGGCAATATATTAATGAATAAAATTTTTTCAAAAAAAAAACATTTAGAAATTCTTTTCAATAGTTGATAAATTTTGCTTTTTCTCCACATTCGATCAAAGTAATACAGGTAGAAAATTGGTAATAAATTTTCTGAATTTGTTTTTTTTTGAAAAAAAAATTTACCATAAAAAAAACTGCCGACAATTTTAATTTCATCATTGAATTTTGATTTAAATCTTGGGTGTTTCCTTTCATGAATTTATATTATATTTGTTATTGACTTTATCATTAACCTTTCAACCTTCAAAGTGATAATGATATACGATAAAAATGATGATATAGAAAAAAATGTCAAACAAGACTAGATTTATATGTTGATTATCATTCGACTAGTAGTAGTACTTCATTAATTTTGTTTCGTTTCTATTTCATAATGATTTATTTCTTTAGTTTTTTTCTTCTTTGATCGAAAGAAAGAAGAAAGAATGTTCATCAAACAACATTTTTTTCTTTCTTTCTTAACAACGTAAAAAAAATAATTTAATACAGAATTTTGAATCATTATAATGGTCTATTATTGGAAAAAAAAATTCATCCATGGCCATGTTAGTTTTTTTCTTTCTTTTACTGGTTGTCATCACCAACAGTCGTCGTTGGTTATGAAAGAGTGAATAAAAAAGAGATATAGAGAAAGAAACCGAAAAGTATCGTGAATATTCAAAATTATTTATTCATGAAAAAAAAATTGAAAACTATCGAAGCATCTAATAATTGGGTAGCGAAATGGAGTGAATATTTTCATGTCTGTGTGTTCGATTTATGAACAGCAAATAATCAAACAAAAATTCATTCATTCATTTTTTTTTCATTTTGGTCCTGGATTCTAAATTCACATGCAATTTCCTTTTTTTTAACACTATGTCATCTGGCCATTTTTACTAGAATAAGATTTTTTTCTACTGGAACCGGTACAAAATTCATTTACTATCTGTATGAATATGAATTTTTTACTTCACACAGGATACATCATATATAATAAGGTTGGTAACGCTGGTGTTAATCCTAAACATTATTTTTTTCAATTTATTCCATGTGTTCTGAATTTGACAACAACATCGGTGTGAATATTTTTTTTCATTCTTTCTTCATTTTGATTCGTTGAAAACCAGTTTTGTTTGTGTATATTGAGTTGTATTGAATATGATTTTATTATGTAAAAATTTCTTGAATTTATGAAAAAATATGCCATAAAACACTATCATTTTTTGCAAGAAATTCTACCAAAAAATAATAATGATGACAATATAACGATAAATCAGTCCGATTATGGTTTGGTTTGGTGATCAATGGTGATATTTTTTTTTCTTTTTGTTTATTTTTCCAAATTCATTTCCTTGTCTACAGAAAATAATGTATTTTCCCTTAACGGAAATGCGAATGTTTGAAAAAATAATAATAAGAATAGGCAAAAGTGTAATATTCAAACCAAAAAAAAAAAAAAAAAAAAAAAAAATATCCCCTTCGATATATCGATGGAAACTTAAAAAAAAAAAAAAAAAAAACCCGGCGCTTGCAGCCGAATG